AAACACACCAGGCGATAGAGGTTTGCAAAATATTTTTTATAGGACGAGTTTTATAGCCTCACGTCCAAGATGTATTCTTTAAAAAAAACATTTATCCCCAAACAAGGCAAGAAAGCTACAAAGACGCAAAGGATGACACGTTGTTAAAGAATAAGACAAAATGAAAAAAAAAGTCTTTATAAAATAAAGAGAACAGCAAATGGTGATTTTCTAAACGCAGCTTAGATGTGGCACAAGGGCAGACGTATGGAGTACCCAGTGAGAATTTAACACACTATACAGTGGTAACTGATGGAGCGCGACAAGCTTGCTAACCATTATACCACGTCTTATTGTCCTAAAAAGAATGATAATTGAACAGTAATTTAGAATACAAAATATAACGGTTGACACTGCATTTAAATCTTGGAAAATCAAAGTCGGTCCGGAAGCAAGATGGCGGAAGGGAGTTTCTTTAGCGAGAAGTGCGAAGGAACAAACCGTTCGCCTAGAACTTCCGGTTACATCTAATCATTTCAACAATAAAATTATGAGACCTTGCTGTCAATCTCGTACTATCGTAAAGTCGAGGTTGCTTGTTTATTTTGTTTTAAGGCATATCAGCTTCAATGGTATATTAATATCGACAAGATTTTTAGGATAGCTTCATATGAATATAATACGTATTTGTAATAAATCAGTTTGTACATCAGCTTTCACTGACGCATTTTTTGTAAATATGGTTTTTGTCATGAGATAAATAAATTTTCTTTTCTTTTTTTTAAATGTATTGATGATATTTTTACTATAAAAACTAGTTTTCATACTTTCTTAGAGTTTTGACACCATTTTGTATGTTAACTATTTGCCCATAGCTGGGACCCTAACAGGTGCTAACAACCTGGGTTTGGTAGCACCTGAGAACAACAACAAATAAAAAGGTAGCGTCACGCTCTTCAAAATCTCCTCATCAGAGACCTTGCCGCCGGGTGTAGTTTATCGCCATTCTCAAGAAGCGAGGTAGCAAAGAGAAAATTTAATCGGAACAATTATGGAAATATTTGTAAAAATGAACAGGTAAGGTACGTTAAGGCGGTGAAAAAGTAATTAAAATACATTCTTAGAGAGAAAAAAGTTGCTGCTGATCAGAGGCCTTGCTACCGGATGTAGTTTATCGTCATACCCAAGAAGCGAGGTACCAAAGAGAAAATTTCATCGGAACAATTATGGAGATATTTATGAAAACGGACAAGGAAGCTACCTTAAGGCGGTAGGAAAGTGATTAAAATAAATTCTTAAAGAAAAAAAAAAGTTCAGAAACGATCCATAGTGGCCCCTGGATAATAGAATCTTTGCATTCCATTCAGTATTTTGAGAAGTTGCTCCTGCTTACATCCCATTCGATGATTTTAAGGCGACAGAGCGCCATCTCTGTACTAAAGCCGAGCTTCAAAAAGAGATACAATCATAGGAATATTTGAAATTCATTTATATTATATACAGACAAAATATATTTCATATTTCCAGAATCTTCCTACATGCATCGGATCTGCTTAGTTGTTTGGTTGATTTTTGAGCGGCATATTAACACATCTGATATGTCCGGGAAAGAATATATTTGTTCGAAGTTTGTTGACTACTGTATCGGCAGGTAACCGTAATGGACTGGTCCTCGTCGTAGTGGTAGGCAATAGGGAGAATATGAAAACTATAGGACAATAGGTGTACACATCTAAACCTCAGTCTGTATTTAAACACCAGCCAATCATATTACTGTGAAAATATGTGTATGCATTTTCATTACATCAACATCTAAAATTTAATGCCGAAATGGAAATATTTTCACAATTGCATGTTTTATTCTGAATGCAATTGTATGCCTTTAATTATAAAATATATATAAACATAGATTTTTTCGCTGGTTGATTTTTTCATTTTATAAATATTTTGTACATATATATATATATATATATATATATATATATATATATATATATATATATATATATATATATATTTAGATCAAAAATCTATTGTTGCTCATTTTAAAATGTTCATTTCATTTCTGGTTGGAATTTCACTATTTGCCCATAGCTGAGACTCTAACAGATGCTATCACCACTGGTCAAGGTGAACCTGGGAACAACAGCAATTACCCTCTTCCCCGGCGTACATTTCTTACCGAAAGTATCTTCTTCACGGACAAATAAACACGTCCAAAGCTAAAGCTAAAAACCTGCTACCGACGTGTTTATACGTCGTTTTTTTTGTATATCCTTCCAAGCTTGAAACGAGTTCAATTGTCAACGTCAGGCAAAGGTGTGAACCACCGCTAAGTTAATTCAAAGTTTCTCAGTTAGTTACTATATTAGCATCAAATATAAAATTCTTCTGTAAATGAAAGCTTTTTCCCAAAATAAATGTCGGCGAAGGATTTAAGAAGATCCTCAAAACCTCCGATCTCCCGATCAAAAACCTTACTGCCGTAGTAGTAATGTAGTTTATTGTCATATCCAGGGCGGCCACAGGTATCTCTAGATGCCCAGGAGAAGCATAAGACTCGAAAGCTGGGGTTTCTGCTGTGTCTTGACCAAATCTAAAGAGGAACTGGCACATCGTCTTCTGTCGCTTTCCCAGGTTCTCATCGTACTTCCTATGCATCTTTTTCTTAAAATATTTTCTGGCAATTGTTCTTTCGCTTTTGTACCGCTAGTTCACGAATTTAAGCGTCCAACCATATTGACATCTAGGCTCCAGTTCGCTGTTGAAATTGCAAGATATAACCGTAAGTTCTATGCTAACAGTTTCTTCACGCCCACATCAACACTGTGTCATGTACATACCTTATGTTGTTAATAGTGTGTCAGTTAATAATGGATTCTTGTTGGACTGCTAGTTCTCTAAGAATCGCCTCCTTGTATCGGTTGAATGGGTCCAGTGAGAAGAAATAATCCTTCTATTACATTTTTTTCTATTTTTATATATCTTTATGCAGGCAGTTTGCTGCCAGTAGAGATCCCTAGAGTTTTTGTAGCTTTCTTTCTTTGTTTGCTATCAAAACTGTGTCATCTACATAGCTTATGTTATATATTAAGAAATGGACAAGGTCCGACAATTTATTTATTAAAGACATTTTTTATGTTTAACGTTCTTATTTTATAGATACAAGTATTTAAGCAAATGCTCTGTTTATGATAAACAGTATTAGGCCGGTAAATGTTATTTAATACTGTTTATCATAAACAGAGCATTTGCTTAAATACTTGTATCTATAAAATAAGAACGTTAAACATAAAAAATGTCTTTAATAAATAGCTTATGTTGTTAATACTGTGGCCTTGGAGGAATTCAATTCTCTCAGAATCACCTCGCTGTATGAATTGAATAAGTCCGATGAGAAGACACTTACTTGTCTTGTAACACTTTTAATTTTTGCATATCTGTTGAACTCATTTTCTGTCCATATGCAGGCAATTTGCAGCAAGTATAGATTCTTGATTATTCTAATATCCATCCCAAATATATCAAGGTTACTGAACAGATCTTTTTGGCGCAGTTTATTGAACACTTTTGCCTAATAGATGTTTTAAAAAAGACAATCTTTCGTGAGACATTATAGTCACAAACAAAGAAATTTACCAAATAGCTCTTTTGTTTCTATTTTCTTTAAAACTCCGTCGTTTCTCACATGTTCGGTCCATGTTATCCCCAACATCCTTCTGTAGAACCACATTTCTGTTGCTTCAAGTCTCTTCTTCGTCTTTGAGGAGATCGTCCAGCACTCACTGTCATACAGGAAGACAAATATCAAATAGCAGTTTAGTACTATTTTACTACTTTTCTATTTCTTATTACCCCGCTTAGATTTTAGAATGCCCCCTTCTAATATGCCTTTGGATTTCAGTGTCACACTTTCTGTCATCTGTTAAAACATTTCCCAGATATTTAAATTTCCGCACGTGTTTGATTTTGGTATCCCCAATTTGCAATTTGCACTTTGGGTTTACCCCTTTTGCTAACAACCCTGCATTTTGTCTTCATGCAGTTGATGTTTAGTCCTTTTATTTCCTTCGCCATCTTCTGTTGGAGGTTTTGTAGTTTTCTTTCCGTGTCTGCTATCAACACTGTGTCATCTGCATATCAATAATTGTTCTCAGTAAGATTTCTAATTCTCTCAGAATCATCTCACTCTATAGGCTGAATAATTCCGATAAGAACACACATCTAAATGAGTTCAGTTGGTACACAAAGTACAAAAGGGTTCCCTTCCTATTTTTTTATATCTAGTGAACCTATTTTCTATCCGCATGCAGGCGGTTTGCTGTCAGGAAAGAATATTGATTATTTTAATATCCTTTCCACGGTTTTGAAAGTTCTACGGTAATGAATACTGAGGAGAGTTCTGGTGTACTATAGCTGGATATAATTATGCGACCCTCAAACGGATCAAACGGACAACCGATGTGAATATGCAAATACCTAAATAATAAATACTATGGAGCCTGCTAGAGTTTTAAGGGCACATGATAACCAACCGCTGTCATCAAATAGGACTGCTCTGAATATTCATATAACAAATAATAAATAATTTATGTTTTGCTTTTTTTTGGGATATGGAGCTGTATTCATTAATGTTGTATGTTTATCCTTTTTTCTGTTGTTGATCGATCTTTTAGGAGAACCAGGAAAATGATTGAAAAATTCATAATAAAAAAATCAAAAAAATCGTAAAAATAATGTCGCTGGTAGAGACCAAGATAACATCAGCCTCAATAAAAAAAAAATGAAACTCGTTAGGAGAATAATAGCCGCCATCTTTTTAATTGAAGCCAGCGGGCGTGTCGTATTGTTTCGTTAACAAGTTCGTCAACGAGACATTGATGGACCTGTTGTTACTTACGACTGATTGGCTGTCACGACTGAAAGCGCAGTGATTCATTTCCTGTAACCACTTTCTCTCTTCCAATCTCGATTTCTCTCTAACTTACTCTCTACTTACCTCTATCTATTCAGTGAAAAATATGCCCCCTCTCTCTATCAGTTTTATCATCTCTCCTCACATCACCCTCTCTGTTTTAACTATTGTTTCTCTGTTTACCCACTCTCTTTCTCTTTTTTCAGATCTTTATGTTTCTACCTTCTCTCTATTTATTCATCTGCTCTCTTTAACCCGCGTTGCGTCTGTTTCACTAACACTCTCTCTATATCTTAAATCATCTATGGTTTACCCACTCTCTCTTTACCTCACTTTTTACCTACTCTCTATCTTCATATTACATTCTTTATTTGCAAATACTCTTCATTATTCTCTCTTTATCTACTCTCTCTTTACTTCACTCTTTCTTTGCATTACCCACTCTCTCTTTCTATTACTTTGTATCTGTTTTACCTAATTTCTCTCTCTTTTTATCACAGTCCCTAGTTTTTGTAAATACTCTCTCGTTTTCTTTATCTGTTTATCTACTCGTTTTTCATTATATTCTTTCTTTGCATAATCCACTCTCTCTTTACTTTAATGTATATCTATTTTCCCACTCTCTCTTTATCATTATTTCTCTTTCTTTAACTGTTCATCTTGTCTCTCGTTACGTGACTCTTTCTTTTTATTAGCCCCTCTCTCGTTATCTCATTTTCTATCTGTTTACACACACTTTTCATCACAGTTAACGTGATTCTCCCATTTTCTATATCTCATTATTTAATACTTTAACCTCTCTCTCCCCTCTCCCCCTCTCTCTCTCCCTCTCTCTCTCCCCTCTCTCCCCTCTCTCCCCTCTCCCCTCTCTCCCCTCTCTCTTCCCCCTCTCTCTCTCTTTAACTCACTCTATATCTATTTTATTAATTCTACGTTTCCATGCCAATTTCTTTGTTTTGCATAGTCTCTCTTTATCTCACTCTCTCTATTTAAATTACTATTTAGATCGTTTTCACTTTTCTATGCCTCTCGTATTATCACTCCTACGCAGTCTCTATTTTTCTCACTCTGTCTTTTAAATACTCTCTCTTTCTCTCTCTTTCTGTTTATCTACTCCCTCTTTATCTCACTCAGGGTACGCTTTACCCCCCTCTCTCTCTCTTTGTATTATGTCTCTCTTTATTTCAATTTTTATCTGTTTTCTGTACTTTCCTTTTATCTTTATCATTTCTTCTCTTTTCATCTATTTACATTCTCTCTCTATCAAACTCTCCCTAATTATATCACTCTCTCTATTTATCTCACTCTGTCTATTTATTTCACTCTCTCTCTCTCTCTATCTTACTCTCTCTATTTAACTTACTATTTGTGTCAGTTTCACTTTTTCTAGGCTCCTCCCATTATCAGTCCTACGCTGTCTCTATTTTCCTCATTCGGTCTTTTAACGACTCTCTTCCTGTTTATCTACTCCCTCTTTATATCACTCAATGTATGTTTTACTCCCTCTCTCTTTGTAGTTTGTGCCTCTCTTTATTTCGATTTTTATCTGTTTCCTCTACTCTCTTTTTATCTTTATCAGTTCTTCTCTTTTTTGCCTTCTTACTCCTCCTTTATCTCTCTTCATTTAATTCACTTTCGCATATATATATATATATATATATATATATATATATATATATATATATATATATATATATATATATATCCCTCATTATCTCTTTAACTAACTCCATAATCACCCCTCTCCTTGTTTTCTTTACATCTTTATTCTCTGATTCTCTCTCTCTCTCTCTCTCTTTCTGTATCACTCTGTTTATTTCTCTAAATATTTTTTCTTTTCCTCTTTTTTTCTAGTGCTCTTGTTCGTTTTTTTCCCCGTATTTATTTGTCAAGTCTTCGTGCATAATTATGACAAAAATATCAAATTGCTTGCTTTTTTCTGTTCGAAAACATTTTTTTTTTCGTTTTAAAATATCTTTTCTTTTTATATATACCAGAAAATGATTTTATTCCATTTTTTTTATTTCCTGATTCAATCTAAAATAATTAGGACAGCATTATTTTACACTTATTGCATTTTTAGAAACTTTAGACATTTTAAGTGTTATTTTGTTTCCTTTTTTCATTCAGGACGTGCCTAGGTAGTAACAGCTTGACGAAATATTCGTTAAAGTATAATGTTTTGGCGCCAATTCTGTGGATCCGCTTCGATGACAATTCTCTCAAGGTTACTTATAAAGAAACATTAAGGACGAGGAAGATGATTTTTGTTCACCTAGGTTATGAGTAAAACGTACATGGAAACAATTCTATTTTCTACACAGATAAAGGTTACACATGGTATGCCAGCTGACTAACAATTAATAATAATGTTCGCAATATTGCTCTTGGGAAAGGCATGAATCCATGTTTCCCTTCTTTTTCCTGACGTAGATTAAGTGTTATTTTGGAAAGAAAGACAGCTCGCATCAGTAGGATTAGACAGGTTTGCCTATCACCCCTTTCACACTCTTCCCCGGTCTTCTGAATAGTAGTATATGTTTATCATTTTTTTCTTATTTTGGAAAGTGTTTTCGATTCATTCTAAAGACTTCTCATTCTTTTCCAGTCTCAGTAGCCTTTTGTGTCTTAGTGACATTATCGCTTTGTTTGGGGTGAATTGATTAAAATATAAAATAAAATATACTGAATGATTCTAAATGAACAAATATTTCTTTGGTCATAATTTAAGCCCTGATCTGGCATCTCGTCTACAGTCGCTGTAGTCACAGACGTATCGTCGCCTCCCTCTGTATTTTCTACAGATACTTTTATGGTAACTGCTCCGACGATCTACTTTCGCTAGTTCCCAGACTGCATGAATTTAAACGTACAACTAGGCTGGCAACTCGATCTCGTCCATTCAATGTGGAAACAGTTAAACGCAGCCGTCTCTTCTACTCCAATGGCTTCATATCTCGCACCTCCTGTCTGTGGAATTCTCTTCCTATGGCTTGTTAACCCGATAGCTATAATCTCCAACTATTCAAATGTAATGTCAATCGACATCTCCAGATGCCTTGATCTATCACCCATCCTTTCCTCTATCACGCCTCTTTACTTTCGCTCCCACTCTCTTTAACCCATTGCGTGCTAGTGGCATTCCTCATCGCTTGGAGTGAAGTGCTTAAAAAAAAATACTATATTTAATCGAGACCATTACTGCTCTACCGCTTCCACGGAATAGAGCTCGGCCGAACTACATTCCTTGGCTCCGTCAATTTAAACATTCAAGCCAAGGACATGCCATGTCACTTACACAGCAAACCATCCATATTCCTTCTGTGTAACATTGATGTGAAGGAAGTTCCGGCTTCTCCCCACGAATCATTGTTCTGAGAAATAGACACTCAAGAGGATGATTCACTGGTCTCTATAATCTTAATCTATTCAATTCTAAGCTTAACCATTATCTTCTATCCAGACAAATTGACTCTTAACGTAACCCTCTACTTGGAGTGACCCTTGTACAGGATGATCCTTACTATAAAAATATCTCTGGTTATCGATGACAGATTTTTCATCTATTTGATAAAATGTTGACCCCTTTAACGTAATATTGTCCTAATTTTGAGACAAATAATTTTAACCTATACAAAATTAATAAAAAAGTTCTTATAAAAAATGTTTGAATGATCTGAAAAAATGATCGCCAGATAGAGAATAAGGAGGATGAAGCAAAACTCTATATAATAACGGTAATAATTATTACCGCAATTCTTTAATGTATACATTAGTTTGGGATGAATATACTGTCATAGTTGAAGACGGAAAAGAAATAAATGCTTTGTTGATCTTAATTGATATATTTAGAAGAAGATAACATTTCCTCTCAATAGCAATAAAATAATCTTTGTTGATCACGCCGTAAGATTCGTTAGGTTTTGATGCAAAGAAAAACCAAATAAAAATTTTAGCCTCTTCACAATGGATAAAATGTATTGTCTTGAAAATCTTTTAACGATCTGAAAAGATGACAGCGCGTTCAGAAAATATAGGACGATGAGGCAAAACTTATTTAATGTCATAATCTTTTCGTGTGTGACTCGACTAATTTGTAGTGCTGAATTATCATGTAATAAGAGCATCAAACTAGTTATATTACATTCATCGCCGATCAATCCCAGGTCTATCAACAATCACGGTGACCGGATGTTCCCTCTTGAATGCCCCGTTTCTTGAGCGCCTGTTGAGACTTAAACTCAATCCAAACCTCAAGTGGAACTCGTGCATACTATCCATCCAACTATAAAGATGCTGGAAAATGGTCTGTTCACTATAACGCACTATTAAGAATCTGACCCCTCCTGCTAAACGCTACCTTAGCCAGAACAGACCAAAAATGGAAGACCACTGTCATATATAGACTTGAGCTGACCATTCTTCAATCGCCAGACTCAATAGAATCAAAAACTGTCTCCGGGTTCTTGTGGGAAACGATTTATTTTCCGCCCTAAAACCCCTTTCTCACAGACATTCACTATTTCCTTTGCTCCATCACTTCCAACCACCATCGCTAAAAACCCGCCATTCTCCGCTCATGGCAGCGAACCACCTTCATTCCCTTCCTATTTTATTAAAGCTTCTTCCCACGAAGTGTTACTTTTTAGGCCCGATTCGCAAGCAATGCTTTCTCGATTATTTCCATCTTAACCCTTTCAAGTCTAGGGTCAACTATTATCTATACCACATATCCACTCTGTAACCATTTACCCCGAGTTGCTCTTGGATATTGTACAGGGTGGCTGACATTGTAAAAAACAAATAACACGCCTTTAAAATTAACAAAGGGTATTTTTTCTGCAAATATTTGTGCCATGATTCTTATCCCTTATTCGTATTAATTCTTTACTTTTGATTTAGCATTTCATGAAAGACAACACACTTCAAGATACCACGACTTACAGAGCATAATTTTTGGGTACAATCCTGGTTTTAGGATCGATTCTTCTTTTCCTGCTAGTACCAAGCTGTTGAATAGGAATAAAGTGACATCGCCGATACTGGAGTTTGAACTCAGATCACAAGTGAGGAAACACAGGCGATTCAATTTCCAATAGGTACACCAGGTGATCGTAAAGGAAAGGTATATATGGGAATTAGCGTGTTGTGTAAGTGATGGCAAATTTCTATACTATACACTATTTCTCTCTACTGATCACTCTACGGATTACTATTTGGCGGTTACTATTTGAACAGTTATTACTAGTGCGAGTATTATTTGAAGGAGTTACTACCACCAGTGTCTGCGTTTACAAAGTCTCGTCTACAACGAGCATTACGAACGTGATAACAAACATTCGTTGGAATCAAAAAAGTGACAACGACGAAGGCATCACAAAACAAACATTGTCGTTTTCGTTGTACATTATTAAAGTGAACCCAGCTTTCTTAACTAGAAATGATTCTAACGAGGAAATGTTCCACAGAAAGCCTGACTTTCAATGTGGTGCAAAGAGCAAAATTTTGATCAAAGAGAGGGTCACTCAGAAGATGGTTGTCTCTTTAAATAATACGCGAATAGTCTAGTGGGAATAATACGCTGATAGGCTAGCGTTGATTCATTTATCCGAATGGTGCGTCTTAGTAATTTTGAGTTAGATAACAGCAGTGGAAACATATTTAATCTGTAAAAGAACCCTATTTATCCTTAATCACCATGGCTGCTGCTAATCTCCTGCAAAGAGACTCAGTGTGCCATCTCAGATTAACATTCTTCGCAGATATGACGTGGAGAGAACATATATTGAATCACTTGCTTAGTTTGTAGCCAGGGAGATTGTTTCCCTGTAGATAATTTTCTCGCCAGATTCTCTCTTGCATATTTATATGACTACCATTCGTTATTACTTTGAATATTGCAACCACCTCTGGTTTGGTGCTCCTGCTATATATTTTATAGATTCTTGATAAAATCTAAAGAAGAGTCTGCACTGTTATTGGTCCTGATCTGGCATCTCGGCTTCAATTACTTTCCACCGGTTATAACGTAACTTCCCTGGGTTTTTTCAAAATACTTTTATAGTAACCGTTCTGATGAGTTTTCTCTATGGTATCCAGACTGTAAGCGAGGTACTAGATTGAAGGCAAAGCATCATCATTTTGCCATTGAAATGATTAGATGCAACCCTAAGTTCTATGCTAAAAGGTTCTTTTATCGCACTTCTCGCTGGTGGAACTCCCTTCCGGCTTCTAGCTTCCCTGTCAACTTTGATAGTCAAAGATTTAAATGCAATGCCAATCGTTATCTTAATTTTTGATAACAGTTTAACGGCTTTTCCTTCTTTCTAATATAACGCATAATTGACATCAAAGGAAGAATATGAGGTCAGTGTAGTTTAATGTCGAAGATAACCAGTTTTCATGGGTAAGGGGTAGATTGCACCGTAGGTCTGGAATTCCCGCGACACGGTAAGATGCGTGTGTTGTTGTGTCTTAGCGAAACCAAGATTACGGCGTCCCGAAGTTGAAAGCAAGGCCGAGCTTCGGAGAGTTAAGTTCATTTCATGATATATAAACCATCTACGGGAGGTATAATGTCTCATCGGATAGAAATCACAATGAATAACAGGTAAAAATAGGTTTTAATGACAGAAGAGTAACCAACGTGGACACTAGTCCGTTTTGCCCACCAAACAACAAGGACGATCGATGTAATGTTTAAACTAAAATAAAAACAGGATTGGTTCTATTTCTAAATTAAAAACATAGATTGATTTGTTTTTTACGGCTTATCAACCTTGCAGAAAAGCTAGAAAAAAGTTGGATTCATAACTTAAATACCCAAGGGTATTCAAGCGTAAAAGAATATTATAAGCCAAACTCGGTCTAGAATTCTGACTTCCAATTTCGAGACGTTATCCTTTATCCACACATCCAAGGTTACAGCACCTGGTATTCAGAAACGGCCACTCATCTAGACAAATTCTAGATATATGTCTTATTTAGACTAGGATCAAAGAAGTAGACATTGTTAAATTTTAAACTATAATAGAAAAAGTAGACATCTTTTTGGTTTACGCTTAATTCAAAACGGTAGACGCCAGACACTGATCTAATACTAGAATCTAAATGGTAGATTTGAGTCGAGAATATAGAAATACGTCGGTTTTAGACAAGAGTCAAACAAGTCATATATCTGCTTTTCACTCGTCAAAAGTTAATGATCGGTCATATTTTCAACCGGGGATACAAAACCCGACTCGGAAGTGGATCTTTTGTGAAAGAGTTTTACCTCCAGGAGGGAATACCGTCATTGTATTCTGAACCCCGTTGACAAAGCGGGGATCATTGAATGGATGAAGTATAAAGTAGGTCTCTCGAGTCCAGTAACTGTTATTTCTATTTCTAGTACTGATGGAGGGTTCTTTCCTAACCTATTGTTTAAAGACCTGTGGAAATTTGCTTGATTATTTTCATGAGAGTTTTAATATATCACGTTGTCGTTACCAGATAATGGATGAGCTATGGAAGGAATGTTTATTCGCCCGTTTGCATTTCCCCCATTATGGGCATTATTATAACCACGATATAATAATAATCTTATTACATGGACGGAATGGAATAGCTGGAAGAAAAAAGAGGTAAAATGATTTTCAAAAAGTATGTTGAGATTATGAAAATCCATGGCGGCAACACTTTACCTATTTCCTATCCAAGCTATGATAACTGACTCGAAAATGCAGGAGAGGGGATTTTCGTTTTTTTTTTGTTTTTGTTTTTTAATCATTTCATCCCAATCAAGACAATGGTGTCATTAGGGTTCGAGGTCTTACTGAGTGTTAGGGAATATGAGGAAAAAAAGTGAGTAAAATAAAATAACAGTAATTAATAAGACAGATGATTACTTACATTGCATTTAAATTTTTGAAGATCAAAGTTGACAGGGAAGCAGAAGTACGAAACAAGAGTTTTACAAGCGGGAAGTGTGATAGAAGAAACTGTTATCATAGAACTTACGGTTCCATCAAGCCATTTAAACTGTAACATTATGAAGCCTTGCCGCCAATCTATTAGAATAACGGTAAGTTCATTAGAAGAAATACCATGAAAGTATCTATAGAAAAGGAACAAGCTACGTTATGACGATGGGAAAGGGACTGTTGGTCAGCATTAAAGGTTGAGATTTTACGACCGAACTCGAACACTGTGAACATAATAAACAAGCAGCACGCTAAGAACAGAGTCTGAATTTTGTTCAGAACAGCGTCAGAAGTTTCCAGAATTTTTTTAACAGACTTGTATAGATGAACAACGCTAGGAAAATACTGCAACGTATTTGAGCTTATTTCTTCGACTGCGCTAAGAATTGCGTCGCTGCAATGCCATTGTGCCTAGTTGGCTTTTGAAAGTACTTGACATTTTGTAGAAAACAAAAACTTTTTCAAGTTTGCGCAAAGTTTTCCAACCAAGAAATAGAGCATAAATCAAGATTTGTTAGCGATGTAAATTGTTTGTTCAGCTGAAAAAAGCTATCTTAATCTCCAATTGATCATTGCTGATCCCCAGTAACCTTGGGTGTCTGTCCGGCCCATTCAATCATTTTTTTATATTACCCCTACGTCCCAATTAACTTTGGAAAAAAAAAGAAGAATCAATACATACAGTGTTGTGATAAAAAGCAAAAATCACACGACAGAAAAATTATTAATAATGGAGAGTGTATTGAAGGGTGATGGGATGAGAAGTGAGAATAACAAAATGAGACTATTGTTATAATGAATGATAATAAAACATTCATCATCCTTGAATGTTTTGATAAAAAGTATCTCTAAAAAAGAGAGAATAAATGTGGCAATAAACAATAGCAACAAGGATTTTTTAATAAAAAGCATGTACATTGTCGTGAAAATGGGTTGACTATAGAAAATGATCATACAACCTTATTTTCTTAAGAAGTTATGATTCTTTTGCAATATGCTTTTAACAGTAGTCTCTGTGGATCTCGAGGAACGGATACAAATTTATTGCGTTGTCATGTAGCAGACGATACAACGCTTAAATCAGATAAAAAGGGATACTACCTCTAAACGACACACCGGTGGTTGAAGCGTCGTTGAATCAACAAACCAAGCAAGCATTGGAAAGGACATGCAGGCTGTTGGGTTATGGAAAGATCTGAGGTCATGATAATATTCACATATCTGAGTCGGAAGCGTTTTATCTGATTAACATAAGTGCAACATGCCTTGCCATTTAATTATATGTGACCATTAGCATTCCTTTTTAAGGTTAAAACTAAATAAATTTTTTGATGAAGCAAAGATGAAGGTTGTAATTTTCAAGGAAAAAATAACTCAATGAGAATAAGCCAGGCAACTGGAAATTTCCAGAAACAGCGTTAAAATTATGCAAAAGACGTTTCATTAGCTTTATCATCGTCGTCAGAGAGCTTCCTTGCGCCTTTACAATGAATACATTCGTATACGTTCTGATGACACTTTCCCTTTTAGTACCCAGACATTAATTATATAAAGGTTTCCATCAGGGCTCTATCCAGGGACCTACTTTGTTTTTAATTATCTTTTAACGAATTTCCCGATGACATCAGCTCTCAACTTGGTATCTATGCTGATAACGTCATCATTTGCTGCTGTCTCGATAGGCTTGATCAGCTCGATGAGGTCAGATTGGCGACTGATGTGATAAACGACCTCCAATCTCTCCCGAACTGGAGCAAAAGATCGCTTGTTACTTTGAAATGAGTTTTCAATTTCTATGCCTTCTTCATTCAGGACGCGCTTACGGACACTCCACGTTGGAGCATCGACAGCCATACGATCACCGATGTTAAGCAACGACAAACCTGGTCAGTACCGAGATGAGTGACACTTGGGAATACCAGTTGATGTAAGCTTTGATGTGCGGGTGGTATAATGGGATTAGGGCCATATCTCGTTGAAACGCCAGTTCCCGTACGATCACCAACGTTAAGCAACGTCGAACCTGGTCAGTACCTAGATGGGTGACCCTTGGGGATGCCAGCTAATGTAGACTTGGATGTGCGGGAGGTATAATGGGATTAGGCCGTATCACGTTGCAACACCAGTTCCCCTACGATCACCGATGTTAAGCATCGTCGAACCTGGTCAGTACCTATATGGGTGAGCCTTGGGGATACCAGATGATGTAAGCTTGGGTGTGCAGAAGGTATTATGGGATTCAGGCCATATCACGTTGAAACACCAGCTCCCGTATGATCACCGATGTTAAGTATCGTCGAACCTGGTCAATATCTAGATGGGTGACGGCTAGGGAATACCAGGTGCTGCATGCTTGGGTGTGCAAATGTTGTAATGTTTAATGCTTCGGAATTCTTAATATGAGAGGCCAGTTCTAATTCTAGTTGGGTTTGTTATATTCATTTACGAGTAAATACCCTTGGGAAAAAATATGTATCCACTTCTGATCTCCCAGCTCTGGGTTAATTAGTAAAATATATATCGCTAAATCATTATCATCTCCAAAATCATATTCTTTTTCTGCTTTTAAATAACCTACAAATGGTTGATCAGCCGTAGAAATATAAGGAGAAATATGTTGGAAGGAGACATAACTTTTCAATCATTTTTATTTATTTTTATTTTTTACAGGTTTATCGAACATCCCTTGGAGATTAAAATGGCTACGTATGATGTAATGAGTAAATCTCATTGAGATTTTCTATTCCAAAGAATGATCATTTATTCAAAACGAGAAAAAATACCAGCAATATTTTAATGTCAGAGTATCGCCTAGCGTTACTATGATTCGAAACGTAATCGCCCGATTTGAAACCAACTGGAAATATCTCCTAAGCTCAGGGTACGCTATTTTTGTTTTATATCATTCAGACTTTCAGTGGTCATCTTGTACAACCAATCAATTCTTCTTCCATGCTGTTTTCCTTCAGAACTTTGGAGATCATCGCTCTCCACAATTTCCTCATTTTTTTCGTATCTCTCCTGAACATCAGTTTAGTCATTCAGTTACACGTACACGTTAGATATGTTACTTGCTCCTTTGCTATCTCTCTCTTTCTCTCTCTATCATTCTTGTATTCATAACGTCCTCTGAGTATCCATTTACCAAGCCATCTTTCCTCAATATATACCCTAGAAGTGTCAAATTTGATTTTTTGTGTAAGTGTCATTTTTCCTTAAAAATTGCGCACGTGTTAAGTTCAAATTATTCTCAGCATCCTGCTGTTGAACCACATTTCTGTTGCCTCAATATCTCTTCTTCATATGTGATTAGCATGTTCAGCAAGCTGGAATATAGAAGGACCAATGATAATTAATGATTAAATTAAAATATTCAAGATCTGATTACCCTTAATTAATATCTAGATTTTACTAAAAATTAACATATATGTTTCGTTTTTTACAAAGATCATGAATATAATAATATACTAATAACATTTGATAAATTCATTTTACATGATTCAGCTGAGATAATTATTTTAAAATCATCAAACTTTTTGTAACCTACACGCACGACATTGTAATCATAATGAATTGATTAGCAGAGTAGCCGTAGATATTCGTCTGTCGTCCGGTTCACTCTCCACCCTGGGTTTTTGAACAGAATTAGAGGTTTATTCGTATTTTTTTTTATTTAAGATTGGATTTCCGGTTCCTAAGATCCTACTTCTGTTCTATATACTTAAGCATGTAGAATTTTATCCCTTATTTCCTTTATTATGATTTGGTTACCGGTTGCTTCTAAAAGTCTACTTCAGCTGTATACCCCTAACCATTGTCCTTTCCTAAGCTAATATGTATCAAAATTGTAACCATCTACTTTGAGTGGCTCTTGAGCCTTGTATTGGGTGAATATTTTTGAATAAAATGAAGAAAGTATTACCCGATGTTTGAATATGTCAAGAACCCATAAAACGAAATTCTTTAGTGCAAATAATCAAGGAGACATTATTATAGGTACCCCCACGAGATCGCTAAAAAAGAGCATAGCATGATGAAAAAGACGCCAAAAATGACGACAACAAAGTTTTATCGTCTAAATGTTTATGTTATTATTAAAAGGAAAGATCAAATATTTTGGGGGTATTTTTTTTACATTTTTTAATCATTCCTAGCACGTCTGAAATTTTCGTTAAAAATCTTGTTTTTTTTTTGAGTCAGCAAAATTGACTATTTTTTTCCATTTTATAAAAAAACTGGAAATCTCACTTTGAAATTCTTTTAAATATCAATTATCATTTTTTTCAAAACTTATTTTAAGAAAATCAGAAATTATAATGTTTATTTAAAATAATTTGAACCAAGCTTATCTTAGATTCTGCACCGAAAAGATGTAATTTGAAAATAAAACAAAGCAGGTCATAAACTTTCGCGACACTTGACAGGTGATGAATGACACATTGACTGATTCCGTGAGGTTAATTCGTTTTACGGAAGGAGAAAATGAAATAATTTACATTTAAGTAAACAAATTATTTACCTCGTTATTTTTAAGGAAAACTTTCAGTGCTCTAATTTTTTTTTGTACTTAGCTTTCACCTTTACATTTACAATACTTTTTGGAAAATATATTATAAACAAATTAAAATAAGACTGTTAAGAATGAGATTAAATTTCATATTTCAGAAGGAAGGTATCTAATTAATTTTTTTCTTATGAAATTTTATCAGAAGTTTACATAAAATAGTAAAATTTTATGTACATTTATTACATTTTACTGTGTTAGTTGTATTTCAATTAATTTTATTATTAATTTTGATATTTCATTTATGGAAAAATATAAAAATAAGATCTTATAAATTTCATAAGATGATACTGATACTTGTAGGTACCCTTCTCAGTTGAAATTGAAAAATCAAATTAACTTCTCCACACGTGTTTCGCAAAAGTAAAGCCCTTATCAGCGGAGAACAATGCTTAACTCAAATAACGCAACTTAATTGCATTCTGGTTGGTCTTCCGTACTTTATAATTACAGTCTGATTATAAACACAGAATTACATTTCTTAATTACTGCGGATCTTCTGATTAGTCAAAATGATACAATTTAAGACGCGCTAAAAAAAATCAATCTCATAAAGAGACTTAGGAAACCTGATGCGGCTTTTAACTAATTTTATATTTTAAAAAATTAAATGTAAAAATCTATTATAATTAAGAGATAACAAATAATTGTATTAAAAATTCAATTTTCATCGAAAAATTTTTTTGCTTTCAGAAAATATTATCCCTATTCATAAAAACAATTAAAAGCAAATAAAAGCATTTGAAATTAAATAATATCTTTGTTTTATTGAGTTTTGTATGTTACAATTCAGAGCTGATTTTCAGGTAGGGGAGTCCAATTAAAAACAAAGAAAAAAATAACATGATTTGAATTCCTCAAAGCCTTGTGCTTTTAACTATTGTAATCATTAAACTAGACTCGATCGAATTTCTAGCGTTTCCATAAAATTAGTTGGGTGGGGGTAATAAATATAAAAATAAAAATTCTCTTGTGACTTTAATAAAGAAAAACATATTTATAATAATTTCGATCATCTGTGAATAGTTCCTGAAAGTTTCATTAACATCCGACAATTGTTTATATTTTTGCAAGATTTTCCAAATTAATGTGTGTCATACCAAAAAAAAAAAGTGATAAAAATTGTCTATGTTATTTATTGTTCCGCTGATACAAAGAGAAACAAGTTTGTTTTAATCAAAATTTAGAATGTTCTAAAAAGAAGGAAATTTTTTTAAAAATAATTTAAAAAATATTTGGTCTTTCCTATTAATAATAACATGAGCATTTAGACGATAAAAATTTTGTTTTCGGCAAGGTTGGCGTCTATTTCATGAAGTTATGCTCTTTTCTTTAGCGATTTCGTGGAGGTACCTACATTATTACGAATTCGTGAGCATATAATCTCTCTCGGATTAACACAGTCGAAGTAAGACTCTATTGAGTACTATTCATTAACAAAAAAAAGGAGAGTTTATATGCAGCATTTTATTGGCTAAAAACCGCAACATTAAGATTTGTTAACTCATAGCGAAGAGCATAGATTGAGTAGGATATCAAAAGCTGAAATAATGGAGAGTGTGGAGTATGCGATGAAACATCTCGTTGTGGTTCCTTTAGAAGGCATTTCCGGCACATTTAAGAAAGGAAAGAGACGTTATGAATTCATTTCTGAAGGAAATAAACCACCATTTCTATAGGTAGGCTTTTATTAGGTAATATTAAATTTCAGATTAATGAACCTATATTAAATACTAGCCAGTCGCTCGCAATCTCGCTGAGTGCAGTTGCTTTGAACCTGCAAATGCATTCACTGCGCTGATGAATTAGTAAGTGCAGGACATTCAACCAGTTGTCTCACTTTGTTTGATAAAAGACATTCGCTTCGCAGATGCAATAGTGAATTATGAAATATTATATTCCATAATTTAGGTTTTACTTAATTAGCAATTATGTTTCTCTAACTGTTCAAATGTTGAATGTATAACTAATTCTAATTTCTATTTTCTCATCTTTACACTATATTAATTTTATCTTATAAATTGTCCCCTGTTCTGTCAACTATGAAATAAAAATAATTTTTGTACGGAAAATAAGGATCTACGTACATCAAATCGTCTTTAAATTAACTGGCAGAAGAAGAAGAAGAATTATCGTTGAACTTTTAAAAGGTTAAGCATTAATTCAATGCTTAAACGCAGCGATCAATCTTGAGTTATTCTGTAATTTATTGATGCCTATCGCATTTACTCCTCCCTAGCTTTTGTGATGATGCCCAAACCAAGAGTCCTCCATATGAGCTAGCTTAAATACCGTCCGATAGGATACAAAAGGAAAATAAGTTACTCTCCTTGAACCATGAAAGCAACGATAATGGCAAGTATAATATATTAATATATAGTTTTAACCTCGTATAATCTGACAACCCTGAATCTGAGCTCAAGAAAAATCGTTCCCTGCGCCTAACATTTCTAGGGCTTTTGAATGAGCAATGAATCACTGAAATTGGACCAACGGGAGCATACGAGTTGTTTTCACACACACACACACACACACACTTCACTTTATTTATAAGAGTTACATTATTTATATTCAGACAAATGTCTTCATCTATGATATAATTTATAATCAGGTTCTAGCCTTTAAATCCAGTCACATTGGATATTTCAAGAAGCCGTAAAATTAGCTTCCTCTAATTGCAAATAATCAGAGGTGACTTTATTTGTATTCGTAAACAGACACTCTCCAACGTGTTAACCCAATCAGAGGGAGACATTATTAATGAACCTTGGAAAATCTATGAACATAGC